CATTAATTCTAGCGGCTTCAAATCAAGCGGGAGAAAGCTGGTAGGCCCACATGTGAGAGAATGGGTCTGTGTGGTCAGTGTGCACCACATAAAAAAAATCCTGCAGCACACATTGCGTAATGAGAAAAAAAAACTCTGATCGTTTTTTTGGAATAAAACGCCGACTTTGAGGTGTATTTTCTTATAGTATTTATCGTTGTATTCGCGTTTTCATGGTCTTAGGTGATAAAATGGAAAACATATTACAGAAATAGAGATGATTTTCATTACTTTGACGATGAAAACGACTTTGAAACTGAGCTCAAAGTAGCGGAAATGTTCGATTTTTACCAATGTTCAGGAGTAAATAAATCACACCACACGTCCAATACACGTCAACTGAGGAGTCTAATATTCTTTTACTAGTGCACTGATATTATTTATACCATTTTACAATAATGCAGTAGTCTGCATAACAGTAAATTTTGTATTTTTTTGTATGAATAAAAAATCAAAATAGAAAGCAATAATAATATAAGAAGGGCCTAGAGATGTGACTAATGAACAGAGCATATGTTATTTTAGTCCCACGAATGTCTACCTTGTTTATTCTGGACCCTATTTTGAAATTGACATCTTTTTTAGTTTGCGTGAAATTGGCCAAATTGCCAATTTCTGACCACCATATTGGGTAGTCCAAATTAGTAAATGGGAGGTTTCTTGTACTCAGCTGATAGATAAAATGGAGTTCTAAAGAAATAGCTATGAGTTTGGTCAACTGGAACAATGGAATTGGCTGAAAATAGGGCTCAAAGTCAGCGAAATCGCCGATACACATATGTCGCCGAGACCGCTAACTTCGCGGGAGCATAATTCCATGAGTTTTCGACCAAATTTCGAACTTTTGGTGTCATTACCATCGGGAAAAGATTCTCTATCATTTCATAAGAAAAAATAATTTTTTTTTTAAAAATTGAGCAACATAGAATGACAGTTTCAGAGAGGGGCCTGAAACAGTCAAAGGGTTAAACTTAAGATTTAATTTAAGTCTGCCCGAAATGCCTAGCCATGCTAGGTGTTCTAGTGGTACACTCTGTAATTATTGTTTTACTACATGTAAACCACACAATAACCAAATTCTGTAAACTCAGCATTGTAATTCTTATAGAGAATAAACTTTGAATTTGAATTTGTATACCTGAAAGTACCCTTTTGGGTTAGTCTTTGAATCCCTTGCGACCTTAGCCTCATAATCCCTTTTTGCTTTTCTTATGCCTTTTTTTTTATTTCTCTCTTTAATTGAATATGTATACTGATTTCTTAACTGCCCATCCCCTCTTTTGATATGTCTATGTATGCCTCTCTTTTGACCAATGAGATGTTTTAATCTATTGTTCATCCATTTGGGATCATTTTTGTTAGATCTAATTTCCCTACTCGGAACAAAAGTTGTCTGGGCGGCTAGAACTATGCTCTGAAAAATGTCATATTGGCAACCAAGATCACCTACCTGACCCATAGTCAGGTCATCCCAACTGAGCCCACCCAGGTAATTTCTCAGTCCCATGAAATCGGCCAAGCGAAAGTCTGGGACAGAGATTTGATTGCAGTTACCTGGGTAATTCCATGATATATTGAAACTAAGTGATTTGTTATCACTTTCCCCAAGCTCATCAATAACCCTTTGAGGGTTGAGATCCCTGATCCTTAACCCCTTCAGGGTCCAAGGCCAAAATCTGGAGTGGTGCTCCAGTGTCCAAGAAATTTTGAAAAAAAAAAAAAAAAAATTATTTTTTTCTTACAGAATTAAAGAGTATATTTTTGTGAAGGTAATAAGACAAAAAAATTTTTTTTTCTGATCAGTACTTACTAAGATACAGCGGCGGGAATTTGACCCAAAATGACGGGGTGGCAGCAACATCATGACTTCCGCAAAATCCCATTTTTTTATTTTACGTTTTTTATACTTTTTTCTTTTCTTTTCTAATTTTTTTCTTTTTCTAATAACATTTTTGGCCTGTGAGACCAGTATAATGTATATTGTATAAGTGTACACTCATTGTATTCAACACAATAACTGCACTAATTTGTTTATCATTATATTGCTTACAAAACTTGTTTACAAGTTTATTGTAAACAAAATGATGAAAATATTAGTGCGGTTATTGTGTTGAATACAATGGTACCATATGGTACAATATGGTACAATGGCACATGATACAATGGTACCAATGATACAATGGTACCATATGGTACAATGGCACCATTTGGTACAAGGGTACCATATGATACATTGGTCCCCTTATGGTACCATATGGTGTAATGGTACCATAATAGTACCATAGATGCAATGGTACCATATAGCACATTGTACCATACAGTACAATGATACCATATGGTTCATTGTACCATATGGTACTGTTGTATTCAACACAATAAACACACTAATATTTTCATTATTTTTTAAATAGTTTTTTTTACAACAAAAATATGCAAAAATGTTATATATTAGTAATGTTCTATTAATATTTACAAGTTTTACAGGAACTTGACGCGTTCCTTAGGTGGATGACAAAGCACTTTATCTCGGAAACTGGGGAGTCAGTAGCCAGCTTGCGTCGCCACTCACTCAGTCTTGGGTGGTGTCTCATGCCACCAACACCCATTGACCATATGGTACAAAAGGTATCATATGTTACAGGGTACCATAGGTACATTGTACTATATGGTATAGGGTACCATGCCGTACAGGATAACATATTTATGCAGGGTACCATATGTGCAGGGTACCATATGGCACAGGGGACCATATGGCACAGGGTACCATATGGTACAGAGTACCATACAGTACAGGACACCAAATGGTACAGATACAGGGATAACTATGGAAATAAGCCACCCTGACTTTTTTGGTTATCCTAGGATTTTATACGTATGCTGCTATTATGATAATCTATGTAATTGTATTTCTGTACACCTGAATAAACTTACTCAAGTGCATGTGGCATCATAAGTAAGTTTATTTAGTTTTTACACAAAAAAAGTTTTCATAGAATATCATACTTAGCAGCATATTTTGGAGAACCTAGGATAACCCAAAAAGTCAGACTTATTTCCATTAGGGTCCCTGTACCCTGTACCATATGGTATAATGTGCCATATGGTACAAATTTTACCAATATGGTAACCCTTGTACCATAACCATTGTATGACATGGCACCATTATACCATATGGTACCATTGTACCATATGGCACAATGGTACCATATGGCACAATGGTACCATATGGCACAATGGTACCATATGGTTCAAAACCATAGAATTCGTCTTCATCTCCACTTCCATCAGTCTTAGAACTGTAAGTTGTGAAGAGGAGAGTCAGAATTCACCCAGAGAGTGAGTGGGGAGTGAGAGCTTCCTTGCCGCCAGGCACAATGAACAAAGCTACTTTGGCGGTGTTCCCATAATGCCATGCGGGCGTCCAGATTTTTTCTATGGTGTGCACACTGACCACCCACACCCATTCTCTCAGATGTAGGCCTACCAGCCTTCTTGCGCTAAATTTGACACCGCTAGAATTTTGGCATAGATCTACGGTTTGGACCCTGAACATAAAGCCATAGATCTACGGGACGGACCCTGAAAGGGTTAACTCACACTGCGGGTTGAAAAATATTCGAAAAAAAAAATAATAAAAAAAAAATTTCTTACCAAAATCTTAATAATTTTGCTCGTGTGTTACAGTAAAAAAAAAAAAAAAATTTGCAATCAATATTTACCGAGATATAGAGGCGTGAAGTTGACAGAAAGTGAACCGCTTTTGGCAACATCGTTGACTGCCGGTCACACGGTAATCTTATATTTTCTTTTTTTTTTTACTTTTTCTTTTATTTTTTAACATTTCATTTTTTCAAGTAACTTTTATGGCCTGTGAGACCAATATAAGGTATACTGTATGCATATTCACTTGTTGTATGCTACACAATAACTGCACAAACATTATCATTATATTGTTTACAAAACATGTTTACACAAACCAACAATAAAAATTTTGTTTATTATTATTTTTCTATCATATATATATATACACACATAGTCACTGGACATGTTCCTAGAACTGCTAGAATTTCTAGAAGCTTGTTGTTGTGTGTTGATGGACTTGTAAATATGCTGAGTCAGCAGTGTGGCTGGTGTCACAATGACGTATTTTATACCACCACTCACTACCCTCACTGCCTTCCCCACCCCACCACCCACATGGAAATAAGTCACTGTCTGACTTTTTTGGGTTATCCTAGGTTGATGATCGTTTGTGTCATCCTTCCTTCCCTCCTACGTACCTTCCCTCCTTCCTTACTTCTTCCTTCCTTCCTTTCTTTCTTCCTTCCTTCCTTCTGATTTCCTGGGCATTGCTTTCAGTCACAAATTCCTCAAAACCATAAAACTCATCTTCACTGACACTTCCATCTGTGTTAGAACTGCCACTTGGGAAAATATGAGTCCCAGTTAACCAGGGAGTGAGGAGTTTCTTACCGTGAGGCATGGTAAACAACTTGCACTGAAATGGCATTCCCACAATGCAATGTGGGTGCCCCAATTTTTTCCTACTTTGCACACTCACCATGCAGACCCATTCTCTCACATGTAGGCATACCCGCTTTCTCCTGCTTGATTTGAAGGTGCTAGAATTTTGGCCTATAGGTACGGGAATGACCCTGGCTCTTTAAGACGTACATGTACGGGACCAACCTTGAAAGGGTTAATTCCATAAGTTTTCCATCTAATTTTGTACTTTTGGTGTCATTTCCTTCAGAAAAAGATTCCCTATCATTTCAGACGATAAAATAATACATCATCAAAAGAACCACCTACCTCCACTAACTCCCATCTAATGCACTCACACAAGGCTGTTGGAAGTTCATATCCTTAGAACACGAAACCTTCATTTCCTGCCTATAACTTTTTCTGGAATTACCCTTACTCCTTCCTGCCTCCCCAGATTTTTATACCTTCCTAGTCATCTAATTCTGATTCATCTCTAAATGTCCAAATCTTCTCAACACATCCTCAACCTTCTGTATTTTGCTTTTTGGTAACCCCACACCCAAAACTTTAAAATAGCCTTTAGAAATGTGGATGGGAATTTTTCTAAGGAAGCAATTCAAAACAAATACAAGACTAAAATACTTGAAAAAGATGCTGATTAGTAATATGATCAGAGATAACAAAATCCAAGGAACATATCAAAAGTAATGTGTAATGTGACTCACCTTCCATCTTGACACTGTAGAGCTGCAACGTGTGCTAAGACTGCTTTTCTATTTACACGACTTAGGTCATCCCCTAAAATAATTAACGAAGCAAGGGCTGTGTAGGTCATGGTGATATGGCCACAGTCAAAGGAAGAGATATTGGTGGTATAGTCAGCTTGGCCTCTACAACTGGCAAGAGACGTCCCTCCTCGAAATCCAGCACTTGCTAGTTGATCTGTTTAGACATAAAACATATCTGAATTTCTATAGTATACTTTACATAGTTACAGCTACATATATATGTAATACAGCATATTTTTCCTGATACTGTATTATACACATGTAAAAGAATACACAAGTATCATTAAGACAGTAATTCATCCATTATGGTAACAGTGAAAGTGACAATGATGTGGCTACAACTGCAATGGATAATTGAATGCATGCAGCAGTATGTGATGGTGGTATCATATTACATACTGTATCCCCTTCAAGGTAGGATGCTCTTGATCCAAGGAACTGGGCCTACCCTCCCTTTCCTTGAATCGAATTTGACTGTCTTCCATTCCCCAGGCACTGTATGATACATACAAGTCTATCACTACCCCCATGATTGTAATAATACTCCTACCATTCCTCCCTACCTCAACCAGAGATAGGTCCAGTGTTTAGTAGAAGCATAATGGTATTATACTCCCTGGTTCATGAGTGCATAACACAAAGAAATCATGATAAACCTATCAAAATATCAAGAGAAGAATCACATCTCATTTTTATTATTGCTGAGTTGAAGAGTTGTGATGGCTTGTAGGGTGACTATTGTTGGGTTAAAAAGTTTGTGATGGTTCTAACAGCTGCTTTTGTTGAATAATGATTGGTTTCAAGTGGACACCTGAAATGGATTCCCAGGCACAAATCCCATATGTGAGTTAGGTACAAGAGGGGGGAAAATATAGTGTTAGTAGCACAGAATTCTAGAGAGCACGCCTACAGCCTTGGACATTTTTTGAGGAGTTTCTCGCTTTTTCTTCGACTTCAGCTTTATTAATTCTAATATGCAATTGGGGCCATGATTTGTTCCTACACGTTAAACACAATTTTTTTTTTTAACCCTTTCAGGGTTTCGGCCGTACTAGTACGGCTTACACGCCAGTGTCCATGACGTACTAGTCACAAAATATTAAAAAAAAAAAAAATTTCTTACCAAACTGTTAGGATTAATTTGCAGTGTTTTAAGCCTAAAAAAAGGTTTTTGTGATCAGTACTTACTGAAATATTGAGGCATAAATTTTACAGAAAATAAGCCGCATATGGCAACAGCGGCGAATGTCGCTCACCTGGTACACTTATATTTACTCCCATTTGAAGGTTTCTTGCATTTTCCAATTTTTTTTTTTCAAGTAACTTATGTGGCCTGTGAGACCAAAACAAAGGTGCAATGTATATATACAGTGGTACCTCGAGTTTCGAACAGCTCCCAACTCGGACAATTATGTAAGTGTATTTTTGTAATTGCTTTTGTAAGTGTATTTTTGGGGGTCTGAAACAGACTAATTTAATTTACATTATTCTTTATGGAAACAAATTTGTTCAGTATTGGCACTCAAACAGCCTTCTGGAACAAATTAAGTTCGTAACTTGAGGTACCACCTCAAGCAGCTGAACTAGAAGTGACCTATGGATGTGAACGAAGTAAATGATGGTGAAGGCGAATTCGAACGTTATTGAAGTAAGGAAGCTTGGAAAAAAGAAAGAGGATTTCAAAGGAGGCTTGCTGCAAGAAACAACGAGAGCAACAACAACCATCGCAGAACGGTTAGCCTTGATTTCCCTGCTAACACTGAGTTTGAGGTCAAGTTTAGATGGTTTTACGAAGCTACACTAGACAACCCAGAGGAAAACCTTCGAATTCACTTTCGTCATGATGAGGATCATTACGTTTTTTGTTACTAACGACCCAACATTCATATAAAAACTTCTTACTCATAAATATGCTAACATCCAACCCCAAGCTGCCCCACCAAGATCACCTAAAGTGCTTATTGTTATCCACAATGTCAATAAGTACTTGGATCCTAAATTCCTGTTGTCAGATCAAGTTGCAAACCCTCGTCGACTTCCAAATGATCTGATATTGACTGAGTGGACTGGCCAAGGGACTCCACCATCATATATCTACTCTCGTGCAGTGCTTAACAGGAGTTACAAAATAGCCTTGTACAAACCACCTCACCGTAGATGCTACAAGTGCCAGCGCTGGGGTCACATTGCTTGGAAATGCCCAGCTAAGTCACAATGGTGTGCCAAGGCCCATCCTTCTCACCAGTGCTATGATATGATCAAGAAACACCAGACCGTTGCATTACAATGTATCAATTGTAAGACTCCAGGAGTCACAGCTGCTCATGCTGACTGCAGAGTGAAAGCTGCCCACATCGCCAGCCGCAGGGCTCCCGCCTCACCAATCACCCCCCATGATGAGGCAGTAGGCCTACCAGATACTTCATGTCTGAATACTGACCCATGCCTGATTTCAGACAATGTGGTTGAGCGAGTCACTCTGGGAGTACATCAACAGAGCACGATCACGTCTGCTATCAATACTAGTAATGCTGCTGGTGTTGACACCACCTGTCTGGCTGAGTCAGCTGTCAGTCAGCCACCTGGCTCAGCTGACTGGGACTTCATACCTCTAGATGAAGCTAGTCTTGCTGGGGTGGTACACAACATGCAGCTGCACATAACAGTACTGGAGAAGCAACAATGGTGTTTGAAACAACAACTTGAGCACCACGAGGAAAAACTTACAGAGGTTGCAAATAAGTACATCAACCCACAGATTGTCAGCCATTATGAAAATGAGTATGGTGATGATGAACAAACTGATGATTACAGTGGTGTTAATAATTACAAAAATGATGAATCTGATAGTGGTGTTTACAATCACAGTGAAAATGATAAGGGCAGTGAAGACCATCATGATAGTCAAATTGATGAGTGTAATGTACTGATAGATACTGAGTGTGGAGATGACCTGGTTGTCGATAATGGTGTATGTATCACTGGTCATAATAATGAGGGAAGTGGTACATGTGATGATAGTGATGAATGTAATAAAAGTGGAGAGGTGAGTGTGAGGGATAATGTTACCTGCCATACATTCACAGACAAAGAACGCTGTGACCTCTCTAAACAAAGACTCCCAAGAGGTCTCCATAGTGGAAGTGCACTTAAGAGACTCATGGATAAGGATAATACTGATGATACTGATATTGATATTGATTATGTCTGTTTGCTATTTAGTAAGTTTTTTCATTTTGCTGAGAAATTGAATTCTATCCCTGGACTTTTATAATGGAACCAAACTCCTATAAACTATCCATTTTAACCCCTTGACTGTCGCAACCCCCAATCCTGAGGTGTCTCCTGGTGTTGCAAAATTTAAAAAAAAAAAATTATTTTTTTCTTATGAAATGATAGAGAATCTTTTCCCGATTGTAATGACACAAAAAAAAACGAAATTTGATGAAAAACTGACAGAATTACGCTCTCACAAAGTTAGCGACCTCAGCGATATTTACAAATCGGCGATTTCGCCCACTTTGAGCCCTATTTTTGGCTAATTCCATTGTTCCAGTCGACCAATCTCATAGCTATTTCTTTAGAACTCCATTTTCTCCATAGATTGAGTACAAGAAACTGCCCATTTACCAATTTTAACTACCCAATAACGTGGTCAGAAATTTGCAATTTGGCCAATTTCATGAAAATTAAAAAATATGACAATTTCAAAATAGGGTCCAGAATGAACAATGCAGACATTCCTGGCTCTAAAATAACATTTTCTTTGTTCATCAGTCACATCTCCAGGCCCCTCTGATATTACTCTTGCTTTCTATTTTGAATTTTTATTCAAACAAAAAATAGAAGATTTACTATTATGCAGACTACTGCAATACTGTAATAATTGTATAAATAACATTCATGACTGCATATTAGAATGGCTAGTTGGACATTTATTGGACAATGACATCATTTGTTTACTTTTGAATATCGGCAAAAATCAAACATTTCCCCTACTCTGAGCTCCATTTCCAGGTACTTTTTATAGTAAAATCAATCAAAATCACCTCTATTTCTATAATATGTTTTCCATTCTATCAAATGAGACCAAGAAAACGAGAATACAACCATAAATACTATACGAAAATAGACCACAAATTCAGTATTTTAATTAAAAAAAAAAAGGTCGGAGTTTTTTTTTTCTCATTATGCACTGCGTGCTCCAGGATTTTTTTTTATATGGTGCACACTGACCACACAGACCCATTCTCTCACATGTGGGCCTACCAGCTTTCTCCTGCTTGATTTGAAGCCGCTAGAATTTATGAGTATATATACGTCCAACACGGTACCTTATAAGACGTATATATACAGCCGCAACAGTCAAAGGGTTAAGTTGGAACATTGCGACACTTAGAAAAAGATTTTCTGACTTTCATCATAAAGTAGCTACTGAATCCATTGATACTGTGTGTCTACAAGAGTGCAGAGTCCCTGAAAAATCCCAACCCCCTAAATTGCCATCATTTGTTGCATATAACCTCAAATCTACTAATTCTTGTGTTCTATATATTAAAAAATCACTTCCCCAACAACTTCTTGCACATAAGAAAACAGAGGGGCTACAATATCACGGTGTTAGAATTTATATTGGGAACTCCGCTCTCAACATATTTAACTTGTATGCTCCTGCTGATAAGTTTAATTACTTGGAGCTCCCAACTTGTGCTCAGTCTGAGCCTACTCTTAATATTGGTGATTAAAATGCAAGACACAAAAGCATTGGAAACTCTCAGTTTGGTAATCATAATGGTAATCAACTGTTGTCACTCTTAAACAGTCATGATAATGTGCAAATTGTAGGTGACCTTGACCCCACACATATCTATGGAGGCATCCTTGATCTGTGCCTGGGCTTCAACATTACTTCTGCCAGCTGTGAGTCTTCCATTGTAACAGATATATCATCAGATCATTTCCCTAGGCTAACCTCCCTAGATATTGGTAATATACTATCCTCCCTGGTGGGATATTCAAATGGAAACGTTTTAATGTTCCCCCTGATCAGCATGATGACTTTGTTACACATGTGACTGACTGGTATAATTCCTATGAGTGTACCTCTATCGAGACTTTTAACAATGACCTTGTGAGCAGTATTCAGAACTACTT